AACGAGGCAGTAGGCGTGTCCAGGTCCAACGCCAGGAAACGGTTGAGAGACTGAGAAAAGAGGGAAGGGCGAGGAGAGGTTGAACGCAACTCACGAGCATAAATTATGCTAGTGAAAGGGGAGAGACGGCGGACTAGGCGACTCACCTCAGGAAAAGACAAACGATTGTGGTGCTTCAAATTGAGGAGGGCTTCCTCAAATTTGTAGTGTATACACGTATGGGAGAAGGTAGGGTGGGCATCACCGTAACTGAGGCAGTGAACTCGGGATGAAGAGCACTACGTTTCAGAGAGACCCAATTCCCCACACATGGGGCATAGACACACTGCACAAGTGTATTTGAGGGTACCATGCCCAAATTTCCAGCACTTTCCAGTTGAAAGTATCAACCTGGAGAACAGAACGGCCTTGGGCTTCAAGGATATGTTTAATATTCTTGTGGCAGTCTTTCAGGTCCCTAACACCAGTTGCAACATGGTGCAGGAGGATAACAGTGCCAATACTGGCATTCAACTGGGCATTTTTGGAGGCCCTAACAGTGGTCTCTTCCAATGCTAGACAATGCGACTAAGCGGGCAACTGTATCCTGAGGAGCAGTAATGACATGTGTACCAAAACGGGTGGGGTTAAAAGTACTGTAACAGAGGTCTCCACCGAATCAACGAGGTGTTTATGGAGGAAGTGTAGAATCCAGATGGTTGAGAAAGTATTTAGTCCATGTAGCAGGACCAAACAAGGTGTGGAACGTATTAGCACTGAAAGGAATCGTGCTAGTGCATTTATCACGGGTGGGAGGGGTCGTGGCGGCAACGCCGAGCACCCCCAGTGAGGGAGGGGGGGGGGGTAAAAGGCGTAGTTGTCACAATGAGAGAAGTACCCGCACAAGGTGATGAGGTGGTCACCACTGGTTTGGGGTTCAACCGTACCACAGAGGAGGGTAGTCGGGAGGGTCAAAGGAGTAGTTTGGTCTGGGCCCCAATGTAACGGGGGTTACAGAGCCCGGTCTTCCATTACAGACTGACACGGGGGCCAGGTCGCCCACCCCACGAGCCTGGGTAAGAGAGGTCGGTTCAGTTTCCATACAGCATCAATTCAAAAAGTCTGAGGCCTGGAACCAAGGGATACCACCTACCAGGGCAGCCAGGGAGGCCAAGTGCAGGCCAGTGAAGTAAGTTGTGCATCGTCCCCAGCGGTGCTCCCCCTTTTTAACAGGGAAGTCCTACTGCTTCGTCCATTCTCCCACACTGGTGCAAAGACCCCATTCTCCCTTTTGCCCCAGCCTGGACACCCCTAACCATCCACTTAGGGCAGCCCCTCCAGTGGGTGGTCCTGTGACTCACTAGGACCCTACGGTAGTGCCCTTTTGCATGTACAATACCCAAAGAGGGGCAGGAGAGGGGGCAAAGGCAACCCTCACCGGTCCCAGGGAGGTGTACGTGAGCCCCTCACCACAAAGCGACACCATGGAGGGGGGTCGAGTGGGTGAAGCACATAGCTTAGGTGGTATGGGCATGACAGTAGCATGCTGGAGACTTGTTAAATGAGAAGTGTGTACAAGTGTGAAATAAAGGGTTCACATGATAAAGGCAAATGACCAGTATCTTGGAATGTTAATGGGGGAACAATATGTGAAAAAAAAGGGAGTTGAGAGTAATTAAGAGTATTTTTTTGAGGAGTAAAAGGTGTGTTTGGTGATAAGTTCCCTGGATAAACTTCACCCATGGACACCCCCAGATGGGAAGATCCACATACAGTACAGTACAAGTAATTATCAAAAGACAAGCCAGGGAGACTATGTAGCACCATCAGTGTTGGCAAATATTTAGAAGGTGCTAAATACCACATAGGATGTCAAATATACAGTACAAATTAAAAATGCATTTAATGCACTCATTAAGTACACTCAAATATGTCAGTTGAACAGTCATTAAAGCAATAAACCTGTAAACAATAATAATAAACTGTAGTGAATTCATTAAAATGAGGTTTTATTGTAGTTTGGAAATTTGTTTTCTCATTAAATGGGATCGAGAAGATATACCTCAGGTTATGTAATGATTTGTGTTTTTTAATGTTGTCTCATTGACTGTGATCATGAACAATTGCATAGCATCTCTGTCTTCATGCAATCTGACCAATATAATGTTTTTAGAATCTTTCCTCATAAACAGCCAGGAATTTATATTAAAAAATATGCATATGATACATTAATTATTTTCTTTATATTTTTGGCATTGTCTAAAATAAACATTATTTTCCAGACTCATAGACATCAAAATATAGTCAATAACGATTGTCAATAACCTGAAGGTGTATCAAAGGAAGAGGTAAATACACAGAGGAATAACACTATCGTGATGCATCAATGAGAAACTCCGTAGGAGCCGTGATGAGGGTTCGAACCCGTGCACTGGGTGTTCCCAGGCACATGCTCTAAACAACTATGCCATGACATGGTCAAAAGGACTGCCATCTGAGGTACTACTGCACCTTCAGGAATTCTAGAGGAAGCAGTAGTACCCCAGGTTGCAATCCTCCTGACCATGTCGTGGCATAGTTGACTAGGGCGTGTGTGTGGCAACACCCACCACATAGCTTCCAACCCTCATCCAGACTCCTACAGATTTTCTCAACAGTTAAAAGTCAGCCAGCAAGAATAAATATTGTCTAGTTAATAATGTATATAAATATGCAAGCCATCCTCCTGTTTAGATAGTACTGTTTTCTAACTATGTGCACCACAGTACAAACATTGACATAATAAGCAATCTGATAGAAGAAAAGGACGACGACGTTTCGGTCCGTCCTGGACCATTCTCAAGTCGATTGACTCGAGAATTAATCGACTTGAGAATGGTCCAGGACGGACCGAAACGTCGTCGTCCCTTCAACTTCTAGTGTGTGGTCTGGTCAACATACTTCAGCCACGTTATTGTGACTCATCGCCTGCTGATAGAAGAATTTTGTACTGTTTATTTTATAGAGTCCGACAAAAAATGAAGCTAAAAAACAAACAAATATTCATAGGCCTAGTATAGCACACACACGTACTATATTAGGACTCGTATAGTGAGTATTAGGCCTAGGAAGGTTATTTTAGTTTGTCTAAATTTGTAAAAATTCAATACGTCCAATTTGTACTTTCTAATTGCGTTGAGCTTGTGTATATGTACTCTGGTCTTCATCATCACTATAAGTACTACCAACACAGGAGGATGGACTGAAGTATGGTATATAACTGTGCACAAACAAATACAGTGGAACCTCTATTAACGAGTTTAATCCGTTCCGGCACCGAGCTCGTTACCTGGAAAACTAGTCTTAAGAAACAAATTTCCCCATTTAAAATAAAGGAAATAAATTTAATCCGTTCCACTCCCAAAAACATCCATACTTGTATGACTTTTTTTTATGTAAATACTGCACATGTAAATATAAATGTTTTGTTGTAGTGTTTTAATATTTACTTTACCTTATGAAGAGTAGTTGCTGGCTGGAGGGAGACGATGGAGAGGTGGGAAGGAGGAGAGGGGTTATGGTGTGGAAGGAGAATCCACCTCCGAGTCAGGCGGACTCTCTCTTCTTGGGAATTTCACCCAAATTTCATTTCAAATGTCACACAAGGATGCGTTAGACCAGCACCAAATAAAAAACTACGTTGATTACACTCATTGTGTCAACAATATAATAGTCTTACCACGAAGATACAATACAATGCCGTTTTCTCAAATAGGCAATGTGGTTATTAAAGAAAACGGAAATTTCATGGCAAACATGTATACAATCCCCAAGACGATCGGATAAGAATTGGATTTTATAGAAATATTTGCTCAAATGACGCTTGAGCGCGGTGTTTGGGTGCATTCAAGAGAAAAAAGTGTGTCACGTTCAAGCGACATATACCTGCGAAAGTGATAACACTTTCATAAAGTGTTATCACAAAGTGATAAATTAATTAAACATTTTCACACTTCAAACATTTTTTTCACACACCGGGTTGTCACTGCTTTATCAGGGCAGCTTTTCCAAGAATGCGTTCACCTTTTCAAACATTCCCAACACTTCCCTGATCTCAGTGGAAGAGACAACATCCTCCCTTACCTCCTCATTCCCTTACTAATGGTGTAAATTGTTGATGAGGACCTGCCATACTCCCTTGTGAGATCAGTCACACAGACACCACACTCATGCTTTGCTATAATTTCCTTCTTCAAATCCACAGTAATTGTGTCTTTCTTCCTCTTGACAACACTATCTTTAGCAAGCAGCTTCTTTGGAGACATCGTGTGTTACAAATTGTAGTCGCAAAACCACTAAAAACCCAAAGAAAAGCTCAAATAAATCCAGAGGGATGCTTGTCGTGTGCGATACAACAACAACACTGGCGTCGGAGGCGTCCGAGAATTTGCGAGAACCCGCGAGATGCTAGGAAGCACCATGTGGTTTTGCTTGTTAAGAGGCGAGCTCGTCAATAGAGACAAATTTGCTGCGAGTGGCTTGCTCGTTACTGGAAAAACTCGTTAATCGAGGTTCCACTGTATATACATATAATAAGTCCACTACGGGCTCACCATAGCCCGTACTACTTGGAACTTTTGTTTCCAGCAGCTGAATCTAAAACAACAGCAAACAACATATAAATAGACAAAATCAATGTGTTAGTTTGTATCTGTTCACCTATCAATTGGAAGATATATAATAGCAGACAAACACAATTTATATATTATTTTGAATAATTAATGCAATTCAGAAATTCTCATTCATAAGATTTACAATAATACACCACTGAAGTCTGTCACTACAGTACATATTACAAAATATTATACAACCAAGCCAATACTAATTGCTTCAGGACAAATATTTTCAAAACCTTTGATATCCAATCCAGATATAACTCTTACAAATACAAATACAAATATTTATTCAGGTAAAGTACATACATACAAGGTAAGATACAAAAGTTGATGGATTTATAGATAGAGCTAGTACATACAATGCCTAAAGCCACTATTACGCAAAGCGTTTCGGGCAGTTTCTTGTAATGTAACAGTAATCGTAACAGTCTTGTAACTGGGCGTTTCTTGTAACCTATTAATCGTTTTTATAATCAAAGCAAAGTGACAGGAGTTAAAGACGGCAAGAGGAGGTCTACACAGTTGAGCCAGAGGTTGGCACATGAAGGGTGATAGGAGTGCCCCCCATATGTGAGTTTGCTGCCCCCTCCTGCAAGGCAAACCCCACACACCTCATTCTCACCCATCTGGTTATCTCCTTCCTGAGATTCATCAACCTACAGGAGATAAAAAGACATAGATATAACACTTAACCAAAACATAAGTGGCCAATATTTTTTTTTAAGACATGTAATTCATTTCACTAACTTAAATTTTCATACCCCCTTTGATCACAGCAGCTCACCTTAGTAATGTTGTTGTCTGTTGAAGTTGATATCTCGTCCCACAGAGCCTTGGCTTCACTTAGTAACTCGTCTACTTTGGCACTGGTAGTTACTTGCTGACTAGATGCCGAGATACGTTTACAAACATGCCAAACTTCTTGTAAATCTAATTTGAAAAGAGAAAATCAATGCATAAACATGTACAGTACTTGCCAAGCAGTGCTTGAGAGGGACGGGGTTTAGAGGTTAATTTCCTATTGATACATTAATATGGATTAGCCTAATATGATCAATCTTAAATCATTTACATCAAGTTTCTAACTAGTATAAATTCAGGCTTTAATGGTCTCTAATTTCTTCTATTTGTTATGACCTTCTTGAGGTTATCTTGAGATGATTTCGGGGCTTTAGTGTCCCTGCGGCCCGGTCCTCGACCAGGCCTCCACCCCAAGAAGCAGCCCGTGACAGCTGACTAACACCTAGGTACCTATTTACTGCTAGGTAACAGGGGCATAGGGTGAAAGAAACTCTGCCCATTGTTTCTCGCCGGCGCCCGGGATCAAACCCGGACCACAGGATCACAGTCCAGCGTGCTGTCCGCTCGGCCGACCGGCTCCCCTCTTGAGTAAACTCACCTAGTTGTGCTTGCGGGGAGTTGAGCTTCGGCTCTTTGGTCCCGCCTCTCAACCTTCAATCAATAGGTAATTACCTAAGTGTAGTTATAGGATGAGAGCTACGCTCATGGTGTCCCGTCTTCCCAGCACTCTTTGTCGTATAATGCTTTGAAAGTACTGATGGTTTTGGCCTCTACCACCTTGAGGTTATCTTGAGATGATTTCGGGGCTTTAGTGTCCCCGCAGCCCGGTCCTCAACCAGGCCTCCACCCCCAGGAAGCAGCATGTGACAGCTGACGAACACCCAGGTACTTATTTTACTGCTAGGTAACAGGGGCATAGGGTGAAAGAAACTCTGCCCATTGTTTCTCGCCGGCGCCCGGGGTCGAACCCGGGACCACAGGATCACAAGTCCAGTGTGCTGTCCGCTTGGCCGACCGGCTCCCCTTACCTGCTTACGTAACTTGTTCTAACCGTCTACCACTCAGTTTGCGAAAGTGAATTTTCTTATATTTCTTTGGCTGCTTTGTTTAGTTAGTTTAAATCTATGACCTCTTGATCTCAAAGTTCCAGGTCTCAGGAAATCTTCCTTGTCAATGTTATCGATTCTTGTTACTATTTCGTATGTAGTGATCATATCGCCTCATTTTCTTCTATTTTCTAGTTTTGGCATATTTAATGCCTCTAACCTGTTAGAGGCATTAAATATGCCTCTAACAGTTAGGAAATTTTTCATCTATGTTAGTAGCTTACCTGTCACCCCTCCAATATGTTCTAGTTTCCAGAACAACCTCTTATGGGGAACTCTGTTGAGAGCCTTTTTTAGGTCCAGATAGATGCAGTCAACCCAACCATCTCTTTCCTGTAAAATCTCTGTGGCTCGATCATAAAAGCTGAGTAAGTTCGTTACACAGGATCTTCCAGATCAAAAACCATACTGTCTGTCTGATATATATCATTTCTCTCCAGGTGGTCTACCCATTTAGTTTTGATTAGTTTTTCCAATACTTTCACTATTACACTTGTCAATGATACAGGTCTATAACTGAGGGGTCTTCCCTGCTGCCACTTTTGTAGATTGGAACTATGTTAGCCTGTTTCCACATGTCTGCTACGATTCCTGTACACAGGGATGCCTGAAAGATCAGGTGAAGTGGAATGCTGAGCTCAGATGCACATTCTCTCAGAACCCATGGTGAAACGCCATCTGGACCAGCTGCTTTGTTCTTACCGAGCTCCTTTAGCATATTTTCCACTTCATCTCTAGACACCTCTATCCGCTCTATGTTGTTCTCTGGAATTCTTATTGTGTCTGGTTCTCTGAAGACTTCATTTTGTACAAACACACTTTGGAACTTTTCATTTAATGTTTCACACATTTCCTTTTCATTTTCCATGAATCTGTTTCCCATTTTCAACCTCTGGATATTATCCTTTACCTGCAATTTGTTGCTTATGAACTTGTAGAATAGGCCCAGTTCAGTTCTACATTTATCCGCTATCCCTTTTTCAAAATTTCTTTCTGCCTCTCTCCTTACTGCTGTATAGTTGTTTCTCGCATCTTTGTATCGCTGGTATGTTTGGGGGTTTGGCCTCTTCCTATACTGATTCCATTTTTGTGTCTTTTGGTCTCTGACCCTCTCACAATTTCTGTCGAACCAATCCTGTTTTCTGGCCCTGCATCTCTGTTTTGGTATGAATGTTTGTGTGCCTTCCTCGTATAGTTTTAAAAATTTGGCATACATTTCATTTACTTCCCTGCCTAGCAACAATTCTGTCCAATTACACTCATTAAAAAAATTTTGAAGTTCCCCATAGTTGCCTCTCATTAAATCGAGTTTATCAACTGTTTCAGTTGCCTCTCCTTAAATCGAGTTTATCAACTGTTTCAATGTCCCCATTTTCTTCTAGATGATATCTTAAAGCATAATCAATGTCTAACAGGACGTGATCACTCTTTCCCAAGGGAGGAAGGTACTGGATGTCAAATATCTCTTCTTCCTTCTTGGTGAATACTAGATCCAGTACTGACGGTACATCTCCTTCCCTCATTCTTGTGGCCTGCTTTGTGTGTTGATACAAGAATGTCTCCAGAATGAGGTTCACAAATCGGCATGTCCAAAAGTCCTCCGTTCTTGCTTCACAGGCATAGTGTGTGTGTCTGTAATTACCTAAGTGTAATTACCTAAGTGTAGTTACAGGATGAGAGCTACGCTCCTGGTGTCCCGTCTTCCCAACACTCTTTTTCATATAACGCTTTGAAACTACTGACGGTCTTGGCCTCCACCACCTTCTCACTTAACTTGTTCCAACCATCTACCACTATTTGCGAAGGTGAATTTTCTTATATTTCTTCGGCATCTGTGTTTAGCTAGTTTAAATCTATGACCTCTTGTTCTTGAAGTTCCAGGTCTCAGGAAGTCTTCCCTGTCGATTTTATCAATTCCTGTTACTATTTTGTACGTAGTGATCATATCACCTCTTTTTTCTTCTGTCTTCTAGTTTTGGCATATTTAATGCTTCTAACCTCTCCTCGTAGCTCTTGCCCTTCAATTCTGGGAGCCACTTAGTAGCATGTCTTTGCACCTTTTCCAGTTTGTTGATGTGCTTCTTAAGATATGGGCACCACACAACAGCTGCATATTCTAGCTTTGGCCTAACAAAAGTCATGAACAATTTCTTTAGTATATCACCATCCATGTATTTAAATGCAATTCTGAAGTTAGAAAGCATTGCATAGGCTCCTTGCACAATATTCTTTATGTGGTCCTCAGGTGATAGTTTTCTATCTAGAACCACTCCTAGATCTCTTTCTTTATCAGAATTCTTTAAAGATTTCTCACATAATATATAGGTTGTGTGGGGTCTATGTTCTCCTATTCCACATTCCATAACATGACATTTATTAACATTAAATTCCATTTGCCAAGTGGTGCGCCATATACTTATTTTGTCCAGGTCTTCTTGAAGGGCATGACAGTCATCTAAATTTCTTATCCTTCCTATTATCTTAGCATCATCAGCAAACATGTTCATATAATTCTGTATACCAACTGGTAGATCATTTATGTTGACAATAAACATTTCTTTAGTATATCACCATCCATGTATTTAAATGCAATTCTGAAGTTAGAAAGCATTGCATAGGCACTGGTGCAAGAACTGAACCCTGTGGTACTCCACTTGTGACATTTCTCCATTCCGATACATTGCCTCTGATTACTGCCTTCATTTTTCTATCAGTCGAAAAAAATTTTCATCCATGTTAGAAGCTTACCTGTCACCCCTCCAATATTTTCCAGTTTCCAGAACAACCTCTTATGTGGAACTCTGTCGAAAGCCTTTTTTAGGTCCAGATAGATGCAGTCAACCCAACCATCTCTTTCCTGTAATATCTCTGTGGCTCGATCATAGAAACTGAGTAAATTCGATACACAGGATCTTCCAGATCGAAAACCATACTGTCTGTCTGATATTATATAATTTCTCTCCAGGTGTTCTACCCATTTAGTTTTGATTAGTTTTTCCAATACTTTCACTATTACACTTGTCAATGATACAGGTCTATAATTGAGGGGGTCTTCCCTGCTGCCATTTTTGTAGATTGGAACTATGTTAGCCTGTTTCCACACGTCTGCTACGATTCCTGTACACAGGGATGCCTGAAAGATCAGGTGAATTGGAATGCTGAGCTCAGATGCACATTCTCTCAGAACCCATGGTGAAACTCCATCTGGGCCAGCTGCTTTGTTCTTACTGAGCTCCTTGAGCATATTTTCCACTTCATCTTTAGACACCTCTATCCGCTCTATGTTGTGCTCTGGAATTCTTATTGTGTCTGGTTCTCTGAAGATTTCATCTTGTACAAACACACTTTGGAACTTTTCATTTAATGTTTCACACATTTCCTTTCATTTTCCGTGAATCTGTTTCCCATTTTCAACCTCTGGATATTATCCTTTACCTGCAATTTGTTGTTTATGAATTTGTAGAATAGGCCCGGTTCTGTTTTACATTTATCCGCTATCCCCTTTTCAAAATTTCTTTCTGCCTCTCTCCTTACTGCCGTATAGTTGTTTCTCGCATCTTTGTATCGCTGGTATGTTTGAGGGTTTGGCCTCTTCCTATACTGATTCCATTTTTGTGTCTTTTGGTCTCTTGCCCTCTCACAATTTCTGTCGAACCAATCCTGTTTTCTGGCCCTGCACCTCTGATTTGGTATGAATGTTTGTGTGCCTTCCTCGTATATTTTTAAAAATTTGGCATACATTTCATTTACTTCCCTGCCTAGCAACAATTCTGTCCAATTACACTCATTAAAAAAAATTTGAAGTTCCCCATAGTGTCCTCTCCTTAAATCGAGTTTATCACCTGTTTCAATGTCCCCATTTTCTTCTAGATGATATCTTAAAGCACAATCAATGTCTAACAGGACGTGATCACTCTTTCCCAAGGGAGGAAGGTACTGGATGTCAAATATCTCTTCTTCTTTCCTGGTGAATACCAGATCCAGTACTGACGGCACATCTCCTTCCCTCATTCTTGTGGCCTG